GAGATGCTCTGTTTCGAATTTCAAGCTTAGTCCACCATACTTGGTATGTTTCTCCATATGGTGCATGGCTTCTGTGAGACTTGTGCATTTGCCTTAGCTAGTCTCTATTTTAGCTAGTCTCCTTTTTCAAGCTAGTCTCCATACGGTTTTGTATACTTTGAGCTTTTTCAAGCTAGTCTCCATACGGTTTTGTATACTTTGAGCTAGTCTCTCATATTTGTCCAAGCTAGTCTCCCATACGATTATACGGTCCAAGCTAGTCTCCTTTTTCAAGCTAGTCTCCATACGATTTTGTATACTTTGAGCTAGGTTTTGTATACTTTGAGCTAGTCTCCATACGGTTTTGTATACTTTGAGCTAGTCTCTCATACTTCTCCAAGCTAGTCTCCCATACGGTCTTCGTATACATTGAGCTAGTCTCTCATACTCTCCTAGCTAGTCTCTCATACGGTTATACGGTCCAAGCTAGTCTCCCATACGGTCCAAGCTAGTTTCCAAAGCAAGCTTAAAATTTGCTTCACTTGAGATTCGAACTAAAGATCACTTGGCTTAGCTCACACGCATTTCTTCCAACTCCTCTAGCATGGTTCTTGGTGACTTCTCCGCAACATAATTATGTTAAGCTATAATCCCGCTTAACATCAAAAATCAAAATATGATTTTCCAAACTTGTACATGGGTTGCATGATATTTGTGCACCATACTCCGTAGACCAGGACTGACTCAAATAGAATAAAATTGGGAACTACTTGATTTTTCAAAAATACATTCGGCTCATCAAAATTTACAATATATTCCTAACAATCTATATCTATACTATATATAAAAACAAAATCCTGCAATTTTAACTTCCCGCGCAATTCCTAAAATATCTCACTACCTAATAAAATATATTGATTTCTACTTTCCTATTCGTACAATAATTCTGGGTTAAAATTCTATTCTAAAATCAAAAAATAATGTAATAAAATTCCTATTGTAATCTATCTATCTATCTATACATCTATATCTATACTATATATAAAAACAAAATCCTGCAATTTTAACTTCCCGCCAAATTCCTAAAAAATCTCTCTTCCTAATAAAATATATTGATTTCTACTTTCCTATTCGTACAATAATTCTGGGTTAAAATTCTATTCTAAAATAAAAAAATAATGTAATATAATTCCTATTATAATCTATCTATCTATCTATGCATCTATAATATATATAAAAACAATATCCTGCAATTTAAACTTCCCGCCCAATTCCTAAAAATCTCTCTTCCTAATAAAATATATTGATTTCTACTTTCCTATTCGTACAATAATTCTGGGTTAAAATTCTATTCTAAAATCAAAAAATAATGTAATACAATTCCTATTGTAATCTATCTATCTATCTATCTATACATCTATCTATACTATATATAAAAACAAAATCCAGCAATTTTAACTTCCCGCCCCATAGATTACAATAGAAATTGTATTACATTATTTTATGATATATTGAATATTCTCTCTCTAGAATTCTAGGGTTTTGCATCCTCTCCTAGGGTTTGGCTAGGTTTTTGCACGATTCCGGTTGATTTCCCACCAGTTTTCTTGCTGGTTCTTTGTGTTGTTCGGACAGTTTTCCTATTGTGGTGCGGCTTTACCTACATTAAAGCGGCGCCGTGATTGCGGTTGTGTTGTTTGGATATTTGAGGGCGGCGTGGGGCGAAACAGAAGACAACGCAGTGCGTTTATTCTATTGCGACGTGGCAGTATGGCGGAAGGAGAACATGTGCAGCAGATGGCAGCTCTAACACAGCTCACGGCCGAGGTAGGCATCGACGACGAAGAGGAGATCTGTTTTGCGCCGGTGGAGGAGGAGGGGGTTACGGGTGGTCCTGATCCACCGATTCAGACCTGGAGTGTTGTAGGCAGGTTCCTTACGGCACGAATGATTAAATTGGAATATATGAGGCAAGTTTTGGCATCCGTCTGGCAACCGGTGATGGGAGTTACGGTAACGGAAATTTACAAGGGCTTGTTTTTGTTCGTTTTCTTTCAGAAAACGGATGTTGATTATGTCCTGAATGGTGGCCCGTGGGCATTTGAGAATAGTACACTGGTATGCCGTTTGGTGGAGGATGGAGTTTTACCGATTGATGTTGAATTGAATACTGTTGATATGTGGGTGCAGCTTCATGATATCCCTATGGGATATACATCTCTACCGATGCTTGAGCAGATGGGGAATTTTATTGGAACTTTTGTTAAACATGATGAAAGATTTGTGGGGGCGCCTTGGCTAGCATTCTATCGGATCCGTGTATCGATCCCGATAGATAAACCTTTACGGAGACGTATGAAGTTGTTGAAACGGGACAAGACTACTTGTTGGATAAATTTCAGGTATGAGAGGTTACATTCATTCTGTTTCTTTTGTGGGCTCTTGGGGCATATATACAAGTTCTGTGTCAAAGCCCGGGTGTCTACGATGCCGGTGCACCTTTACCCGTACAATGCAGAGTTGAGAGTTGGGGGAGGCCGCGGACCGAGGGAGGTGGGGGAGAGCTGGTTAGTTCCGGTGGGGGGACTACCACGGGTGGCCGAGGGGACGAGAGACGAGGGAGGCCGAAAGGGTGGGGTGATGGGGGAGGGTGTGGCACGGCCGGTTGTGGCTGATGAGGCTGAGGAAGCGGTTGAGGTGGTTTCGAAAAGGAGAAGGGAAGGGGGTATGAGGGAGAAAGGCGAGGGAATGGGCAGGACACTACCATGGCAGATGTGTCAAAAAACGTGTTTATGGCGGGTGCTGGTTCCCAGACCCGCCCAGCAGCATGAGCACGTTGAGTTGGAACTGTCGTGGCTTGGGTAATCCACGAACAGTTCGAGAGATTGTGGACATGGTGTCCAGTAAGAAACCCGATTTTGTATTTCTAATGGAAACCATGGTTGCCCAGGATCATGCAGAGCGGCTCCAGGTCAAACTTGGTTTTGATGGTGTGTTTAAAGTTGATAGTGTTGGTACGAAAGGCGGATTAGCATTACTATGGAGAACGAATGGTACGGCAAGTCTGTTAAGTTACTCTAAAAATCATGTGGATATTGAGGTAACGATGCCGGGGTTTACTAAGTGGAGAATGACTGGGTATTATGGTTATGCGCAAAGGGAGAGACGGAATGACTCTTGGGAATTCATCATATCCTTATCACATCGCTCTGAATTGCCATGGGTTATTATAGGGGATTTTAATGATCTCTTATATCAGAATGAGAAGCGAGGGGGAAATCCACATCTAGAGGCACTGTTACGAGGTTTCGGGGAAACTATTGATGAATGTGGGCTGACTCAGTTACCCATGCTGGGATATCCGTATACCTGGGAAAGAGGTGAGGGGACTGTGGACTGGATTGAAGAAAGGTTGGATAAGGTACTGGTCACGCAGGAATGGCGAGATGTAGTGAGAGATGCAAGTGTCTTGAACATCCTAACCCGACGCTCAGATCATTCTGCTCTTTTCCTTGGGATTCTGAATCTTCGGGAAATGACAGGTGGTGGGAGAAAAGGGTTCCGGTTTGAGATGGCCTGGCTCCATGATGAAGGTTGTAGAGGAGTGGTCGAGACGGCATGGACGGAGGGAAGAGATAGAGGCTTGCAAGCCTGTATCGAGTTCTGCGGGAATAAACTATCACGATGGGGAGGTGATAAGTTCCATAGATTTGATGAGAAATTGAAATGCCTACGTAAAGAGCAGTTGAGATTACGGGGATGCACAGACCAGTATTCATTAGCTGAATATCAGCGGTTGGAGGAATACCAGGCCCAGATAGAGGCACAGGAGGATGCTTTTTGGAGACAGAGGGCGAAACAACACTGGCTGAAGGGGGCAGATGCGAATACAAAGTTCTATCACAGGTATGCCTCTCACCGTAAAAAGAAAAACACAATTTCTAAAATTATGAATGATGATGGGGATTGGGTGGAAGGAGATGCCATGAGAACAATTATTTTTGATTATTATCGGAATATTTTCTCGTCAAATCCGTCTCAGATAGATGAAAGTTTTTATGCCAATGTATTGCCCCGGGTGACACATGCACAGAACGAAGCATTATTGCGCCCCTTTGAGAAAGATGAGGTGAGAACGGCCCTGTTTGCTATGTTTCCGGATAAGGCGCCTGGACCGGATGGAATGAATCCGGGCTTTTATCAGCAGTTCTGGGAGGTGGTGGGGGGTGATGTGTCGGAATTTATTGTGAATTGTTTAAATACACGGACTTTCCCAGGCAATTTGAATGATACAGATGTGGTTCTAATACCAAAGAAAAAAAATCCAGAACGGGTCTCGGATTACAGGCCTATAGCACTGAGCAATGTTATTTATAGGGTCATGGCAAAGATGATTTCAACCAGGATGAAGCCACTCATGGACGATATTATTTCTGATACACAAAGTGCATTCATACCTGACAGGTTAATTACGGATAATATTTTGATTGCTGCAGAGGTTGGACACTTTTTGAACAGGAAACAATGTGGAAGAACGGGGTGGGGTGCTTTAAAGCTAGATATGGCAAAAGCATATGACCGGATGGAATGGCCCTTCCTGCGAAGTATGTTGGTAGCTTTGGGTTTTAATAATATGTGGGTGGAGCTTATTATGTTATGTGTGACTACTGTGTCCTACAGTATTAAACTGAATGGCACCCGAGGACCGCCGATTGTCCCGTCTCGCGGACTCAGGCAAGGAGACCCATTATCACCATACCTATTTATTATCTGTGCGGAGGGATTATCATTACTATTGCAGCAGGCACAGGTACAGGGAACGATACACGGGTGCAGAGTAGCAAGGGGGGCACCCTCTATTTCGCACTTATTTTTTGCTGATGATAGTCTTTTATTCTTTAAAGTAAATGCGCAGGAAGCAAGTGCAGTTAAGCAGTGTTTGACACGGTATGAAAATTTATCTAGCCAAGTGGTGAATTACCATAAGTCCAGCATATGCTACAGTAAGAACACACGGGACGATGATAGAGAGGAAGTGGCGGGGGATACTTGGGGTTGTTCAAGCACCGAACTTTGGGAAATATTTGGGCCTCCCCTCATTTATAGGGAGGAATAAGAAGGCAGCTTTTTCGTATATTGAGGATAAGATAAGGCAGAGAATCCTTTCTTGGAATAAAAAATTGCTATCGCAAGCTGGTAAGGAGGTCTTATTGAAAAGTGTGGCTCAGGCAATGCCTACTTTCTCAATGAGTGTCTTTTTACTACCTATGGGAGTCTGCTCAGCTATTGAGCGAGTCATGAACCGATATTGGTGGGGAGCTGGGAATGAGCGTGGAATTCATTGGAAGGCCTGGGACAAGTTGTGTATACCAAAGAAGTATGGTGGTCTGGGCTTTAAAGAACTACATGCGTTTAATATAGCAATGCTGGGAAAACAGGCGTGGCGGTTTTTAACCAAACCTGAATCATTGGTCTCGCGAGTCTACAAAGCGAGGTATTATCCACAGGGGACCTTTTATGATGCCAAAATAGGAAATAATCCCAGTTTCTGTTGGCGTAGTATAATGGCAGCTCAGAGTATGGTTTGTGGTGGAATCAGGCGCAGAATTGGGAATGGAATGACAACCCTCATCTGGGACCACCCATGGATGCAGGATGAACATGACTCAATGATTCATACAGAAAAGCCAGCATATCTGAATAATGCAGTGGTGATGGGATTAATTGATAGTGAGACACAGACCTGGGATCCGGATATATTGGCAGATATTTTTAATCCTACGGATGTGGATAGGATAAAAAAGATCCCAATATCTCCAGATTGTGAAGATATGTGGTATTGGTATGATGATCAGGGAGGTAATTATACTGTTAAGAGTGGTAATTATACTCATAATTGGATAGGCCTATGGAAATTAAAAGTCCCCCCCAAATGGAAAACATTCTTATGGAAGGCTTTGAGTGGTATCCTCCCTACCACAACAAACTTGATTATAAAGAGAGTGGATGTACAACCAACATGTGCTATGTGTGGAATAATGGATGAAGATACAATGCATGCTTTAGTAACATGTGAATATGCAACATCCATTTGGGCTCAATCTCACCTTCCAATCCCCATGATAACAACAAATATTTTTCATGATTGGTTTAGTGATCTATTGAATATTTTAGACACTAACCAAATTGTTCACGCAGCTGCTATCTTATACCACATTTGGAGAGCCAGAAACGGAGCGGTATGGGATGCATGTCTACCGCGACCACGGAAGGTGTTAGCCGTGGCCAGAGCCACCACACTTGCATGGCAGCGGGTCCACCCCACCCACCGCCGAGTCATTCGTCACGCTGCCGCGCAAGGCCATGTTACTGCCACTGCCGTGGCACGGCAGCAGCGGCAACACGCCACTGCCGACGCACAGGGACCGCCGGACGAACCTGCCCACGCGGTGTTGCCGACGGAAGATGCCGAGTCCGCCCGCAGATGCTATGTCGATGCCGGTTTTATGCCTGCTACAGGAAAGGTTACGGTTGGTGCGATTTTGTTCAACGAAGAAGGAGAATATGTATCGGATTTCAGTGCGCCCTTATCAAATTGTCTTACACCGCTTATGGCTGAGACAATAGCATGTAAGGAAGCCTTATCTTGGCTATGGAATCGCGGGGAACGATCAGTACGCTTGCTTACAGATTACTTGACCCTACAACAATATTTGACAAGTCGAGTTGACACGATACGGACATACGTAGGCTATGCCATTGATGCTTATAGAGCACGCATTACTTCTTTTGATTACTGCTCAGTTAATTTTATTCCTAGATCAGAGAACTATTTAGCTCATAGATTAGCAACTTCTGCTTTTAATTCTTCTACAGTCATGTATTCGGACGATGTCCCTCCAGACTCTATTTCTGAGTACTTCTAATATATGCCTCATTGGCCACCTTTCAAAAAAAAAAAAACTTCCCGCCCAATTCCTAAAAAATCTCTCTTCCTAATAAAATATATTGATTTCTACTTTCCTATTCGTACAATAATTCTGGGTTAAAATTCTATTCTAAGATCAAAAAATAATGTAATACAATTCCTATTATAATCTATCTATCTATCTATGCATCTATACTATATATAAAAACAATATCCTGCAATTTTAACTTCCCGCCCAATTCCCAAAAAATCTCTCTTCCTAATAAAATATATTGATTTCTACTTTCCTATTCGTACAATAATTCTGGGTTAAAATTATATTCTAAGATCATAAAATAATGTAATACAATTCCAATTTTAATCTATCTATCGATCTATAAATCTATATCTATACTATATATAAAAACAAAATCCTGCAATTTTAACTTCCCGCCCAATTTCTAAAAAATCTCTCTTCCTAATAAAATATATTGATTTCTACTTTCCTATTCGTACAATAATTCTGGGTTAAAATTCTATTCTAAATCATAAAATAATGTAATACAATTCCTATTATAATCTATCTATCTATCTATCTATCGATACATCTATCTATACTATATATAGAAACAAAATCCTGCAATTTTAACTTCCCGCTCAATTCCTAAAAAATCTATCTTGCTAATAAAATATATTGATTTCTACTTTCCAATTCGTACAATAATTCTGGGTTAAAATTCTATTCTAAAATCATAAAATAATGTAATACATTTCCTATTGTAATCTATCTATCTATCTATCTATCTATCTATCTATCTATCTATCTATCTATCTATCTATCTATCTATCTATCTATACATCTATCTATACTATATATAAAAACAAAATCCAACAATTTAAACTTCTCGCCCAATTCCTAAAAAATCTCTCTTCCTAATAAAATATATTGATTTCTACATTCCTATTCGTACAATAATTCTGGGTTAAAATTCTATTCTAAAATCCAAAAATAATGTAATACAATTCCTATTATAATCTATCTATCTATCTATGCATCTATACTATATATAAAAACAATATCCTGCAATTTTAACTTCCCGCCCAATTCCTAAAAAATCTCTCTTCCTAATAAAATATATTGATTTCTACTTTCCTATTCGTACAGTAATTCCCGGTTAAAATTCTATTCTAAAATCAAAAAATAATGTAATACAATTCCTATTGTAATCTATCTATACATCTATACATCTATACATCTATACTATATATAAAAACAAAATCCAGCAATTTTAACTTCCCGCCCAATTTCTAAAAAATCTCTCTGCATAATAAAATATATTGATTTCTACTTTCCTATTCGTACAATAATTCTGGGTTAAAATTCTATTCTAAATCATAAAATAATGTAATACAATTCCTATTATAATCTGTCTATCGATACATCTATACTGTATATAGAAACAAAATCCTGCAATTTTAACTTCCCGCTCAATTCCTAAAAAATCTATCTTCCTAATAAAATATATTGATTTCTACTTTCCAATTCGTACAATAATTCTGGGTTAAAATTGTATTCTAAAATCATAAAATAATGTAATACATTTCCTATTGTAATCTATCTATCTATACATATATACTATATATAGAAACAAAATCCTGCAATTTTAACTTTCCGCCCAATTCCTAAAAAATCACTCTTCCAAATAAAATATATTGATTTCTATTTTCCTATTCGTACAATAATTCTGGGTTAAATTCTATTCTAAAATCAAAAAATAATGTAATACAATTCCTATTGTAATCTATCTATTTATCTATAAATCTATACTATATATAAAAACAATATCCTGCAATTTTAACTTCCCGCCCAATTCCTAAAAAATCTCTCTTCCTAATAAAATATATTGATTTCTACTTTCCTATTCGTACAGTAATTCCCGGTTAAAATTCTATTCAAAAATCAAAAAATAATGTAATACAATTCCTATTGTAATCTATCTATACATCTATACATCTATACATCTATACTATATATAAAAACAAAATCCAGCAATTTTAACTTCCCGTCCAATTCCAAAAAAATCTCTCTTCCTAATAAAATATATTGATTTCTACTTTCTATTCGTACAATAGTTTTGGGTTAAAATTATATTCTAAGATCATAAAATAATGTAATACAATTCCTATTTTAATCTATCTATCTATCTATACATCTATCTATACTTCTATACTATATATAAAAACAAAATCCTGCAATTTTAACTTCCCGCCCAATTCCTAAAAAATCTCTCTTCCTAATAAAATATATTAATTTCTACTTTCCTATTCGTACAATAATTCTGGGTTAAAATTCTATTCTAAAATCAGAAAATAATGTAATACAATTCCTATTATAATCTATCTATCTATCTATGCATCTATACTATATATAAAAACAATATCCTGCAATTTTAACTTCCCGCCCAATTCCTAAAAAATCTCTCTTCCTAATAAAATATATTGATTTCTACTTTCCTATTCGTACAATAATTCTGTGTTAAAATTCTATTCTAAAATCAAAAAATAATGTAATACAATTCATATTGTAATCTATCTATCTATCTATCTATCTATCTATACATCTATCTATACTATATATAAAAGCAAAATCAAGCAATTTTAACTTCCCGCCCAATTCCTAAAAAATCTCTCTTCCTAATAAAATATATTGATTTCTACTTTCCTATTCGTACAATAATTCTGGGTTAAAATTCAATTCTAAAATCAAAAAATAATGTAATACAATTCCTATTATAATCTATCTATCTATCTATCTATGCATCTATACTATATATAAAAAAATATCCTGCAATTTTAACTTCCGCCCAATTCCTAAAAATTCTCTCTTCCCAATAAAATATATTAATTTCTACTTTCCTATTCATACAATAATTCTGGGTTAAAATTCTATTCTAAGATCATAAAATAATGAAATACAATTCCTATTTTAATCTATCTATCTATCTATAAATCTATACTATATATAAAAACAAAATCCTGCAATTTTAACTTCCCGCCCAATTTCTAAAAAATCTCTCTGCATAATAAAATATATTGATTTCTACTTTCCTATTCGTACAATAATTCTGGGTTAAAATTCTATTCTAAATCATAAAATAATGTAATACAATTCCTATTATAATCTATCTATCTATCTATCTATCGATACATCTATACTATATATAGAAACAAAATCCTGCAATTTTAACTTCCCGCTCAATTCCTAAAAAATCTATCTTCCTAATAAAATATATTGATTTCTACTTTCCAATTCGTACAATAATTCTGGGTTAAAATTCTATTCTAAAATCATAAAATAATGTAATACATTTCCTATTGTAATCTATCAATCTATCTATACATCTATACTATATATAGAAACAAAATCCTGCAATTTAAACTTTCCGCACAATTCCTAAAAAATCACTCTTCCAAATAAAATATATTCATTTCTACTTTCCTATTCGTACAATAATTTTGGGTTAAAATTCTATTCTAAAATCATAAAATAATGAAATACAAATCCTATTCTAATCTATCTATTTATCTATAAATCTATCTATCTATCTAAACTATATATAAAAAAAAAAAAAATCCTGCAATTTTAACTTCCCGCCCAATTCCTAAAAAATCTCACTTCCTAATAAAATATATTGATTTCTACTTTCCTATTCGTACAATAACTCTGGGTTAAAATTCTATTCTAAATTCAAAAAATAATGTAATACAATTCCTATTGTAATCTATCTATTTATCTATACATCTATACTATGTATAAAAACAATATCCTACAATTTTAACTTCCCGCCCAATTCATAAAAAATCTCTCTTCCTAATAAAATATATTGATTTCTACTTTCCTATTCGTACAATAATTCTCGGTTAAAATTCTATTCTAAAATCAAAAAATAATGTAATACAATTTCTATTGTAATCTATCTATCTATCTATCTATACATCTATACATCTATACATCTATACTATATATAAAAACAAAATCCAGCAATTTTATCTTCCCGTCCAATTCCTAAAAAATCTCTCTTCCTAATAAAATATATTAATTTCTACTTTCTATTCGTACAATAGTTTTGGGTTAAAATTCTATTCTAAGATCATAAAATAATGTAATACAATTCCTATTTTAATCTATCTATCTATCTATACATCTATACTATATATAAAAACAAAATCCTGCAATTTTAACTTCCCGCCCAATTCCTAAAAAATCTCTCTTCCTAATAAAATATATTGATTTCTACTTTCCTATTCGTATAATAATTCTGGGTTAAAATTCTATTCTAAAATAAAAAAATAATGTAATACAATTCCTATTATAATCTATCTATCTATCTATGCATCTATACTATATATAAAAACAATATCCTGCAATTTTAACTTCCCGCCCAATTCATAAAAATCTCTCTTCCTAATAAAATTTATTGATTTCTACTTTCCTATTCGTACAATAATTCTGGGTTAAAATTCTATTCTAAAATCATAAAATAATGTAATACATTTCCTATTGTAATCTATCTATCTATCTATCTATACATCTATACATCTATCTATACTATTTATAAAAACAAAATCCAGCAATTTTAACTTTCCGCCCAATTTCTAAAAAATCTCTCTTCCTTATAAAATATATTGATTTCTACTTTCCTTTTCGTACAATAATTCTGGGTTAAAATTTTATTCTAAAATAAAAAAATAATGTAATACAATTCCTATTATAATCTATCTATCTATCTATGCATCTATACTATATATAAAAACAATATCCTGCAATTTTAACTTCCCGCCCAATTCCTAAAAAATCTCTCATCCTAATAAAATATATTGATTTCTACTTTCCTTTTCGTACAATAATTCTGGGTTAAAATTCTATTCTAAGATCATAAAATAATGTAATACAATTCCTATTTTAATCTATCTATCTATCTATAAATCTATACTATACATAAAAACAAAATCCTGCAA